GTTAGCAGGGTGAGCTCCTGTTTCCTCCCCAGTGGCTGTAAACCCAACAGTGCGAAAACTCATGTGAGTAGACAAATGGGTACTCTCACTCTGGGGGGAGGAAAAATGCTGGCGGCGCCTTGCAAAAAGGAGTCGGGAGCAGTTGCCGGTAAGTGCGAAAAACCGCGCGTGCCCAAAAAGGGCACGAAGCGACGGAAACCTCGCCTCCTGCGCTCGCCAGCTGGGCTTTGCTCTAGGAAGGAGGCTCTGGCAAACCACTTCCGAAAAACAGTTGCCTTGAAAACTGCAAAGGACTTGTCCAAGCAGTCACTGCAGGGTCGGTAACGACTGAGCGCAGATAAAAAAAAAAAAAATCAAGGAACTACCAAGGGGAAAGGCACACCCTCACCAACACAGGCAGGACAAACTACTGAATGTAAACAGGGAGCAAACCCCACACTCACTAACACTGATGATGTTACCTAGTAGGGTAATGAAATGTCTCCAATCAAATAACCAAGCTCAGAGAGCACCAAGGACTCCACATAACCCAGAAGTATTTCTTCAGGGCATTCCAGTCAATACAAAGAACACCTTAACCTCACTACTTTTAATAGTAATGCAAACTTCTAATGAAAAACTACTAAAAATTACAAACTACTAATGCAAACTACTTACGAAGAAAGCTTCCATGAAAGCTGTGTTTTGTTTTATGGTGGAAATGTGTATATAAGATTGCTTTTGACAAATCAGGTAATTGGGACCTAACTAACCTAACATCTAACATACCTAACTAACATCTGCCTAACCCTTAGGGGGCATTCCATATAAGACTTGTGTTTAATGTGTCTCTTGGGATCAGTTCATAATGTCTTGCAAAGTACTGATGTCCTGCTGCTGCTAACAGTGCAACACTGCAGTTCACACTTTCAGAAAAGCTTGGCTCCATTTTTAAGAAAATGAAATCCTCTTTGTTTAACAATGCCATGTGATAGACATAAAATGCTGAATACACCAACTGAACTGATTTCAAAACTGATGATTTAGTTTGAATGAATTATTTATCAGATTATAATAATAGTGAAATATGATCCTAATACATGAATAGAAGGAGCCATCAGTACCTAATGTGGCCAGGAAGCCTTGAAAGATCAGGAGGAATTAGCTGGCATATAAAGTAGCTGCTTAGAAAAGCAGACCAAGGAATACAACCCATTTATTGTAAACTTAAGTTATTTTTGTTCAACTGAAAATAGAAGGCAGTTCAGTCAGACTGTTCCTGGTGAATCAAAATCCAGTTGATCTGAAACCCAGAATATTTTAGGTGTTCAGGTTTTGTCCAAGGAAAGTCTAGGGAGGTGAATAGGCAAATAGGACAAGGCTGGGATGCCTTGTCCATTTCTCCTGTTCTGTTAGCCCTGTTGGTAGACTAGACCAAGAAATTAATTCCACAGGAAGGCTAAAACTACTTTTATTGAGATTGGGTATAATAACAGAATCTTGCAAGTATTGCTCTGTGTCCTCCTTCTCTTTATACTCCAGCAAATTAGGGAGGAGTCTATCTGAGCCACTTCCAAATATTATCTGCCTGTTGTGGACTTAAAATATATTTCACCCCCACCCCACCCAGGCAATGGATCTTGCATATCTCTGTCAGTGTCATGCTCCTTACTCTGTATATCTTCACCTTCACGTGGTCTGTGTGCCAGCCCACCCAGAGCCTTATCTCCCACTGCCATGCTTGAAGACAATACCCAGTTGGCTCACCCACCCCTCTCCTTAACATCCCAGTGCCTTCCTTTTCCATTGATGCCACCACCCTACCTGACCAGTCCACCTACTCCTCTGGTCATCTTAATGCCTTCCTTGCTGGTCTTCTGCTTAGTTACCATATGCTGCCACCATTTAGCTGCTGACTGTAATTACAAGAAGCAAATTTATTTGTAAGATTTCTAAAGCATTTTACTGCACAGAGCTGTAATCTTGCTTGATTATGTTCTTATTATTTATTTTAAACTAAAAATGGATGTGACATCATTGCATTATACAGTGGTACCTCGGTTCACGAACTTAATTTGTTCCATGATTCTGGTCGCGAACCGAATCAAATTTCCCCATAAGGTTCAATGTAAATAAAGTTAATCCGTTCTGACCCCTACGAACGTGGTTGCCAACTGAATTGGTCACCAACTGAATCAAACTTTTCCGTAAGGTTCAATGTAAATAAAGTTAATCCGTTCTGACCCCTACGAACG